TCTTTGTTGATTTCCTGTCTGGATGACCTGTCCATTGCTGAATGTGGGGTGTTAGAGTCCCAAGGTATGATTGTATTGGAGTCTGTCTCTCCCATTAGGTCTCTTAATACATGCTTTATATATTTAGGCTGATATTGAATGTGTATATATTTAGAATTGTTATTTTTTCTTGCTGAAATTGCTTCTTTATCATTATTTAATGACCTTATCTTTTTTTTCTGCCTTTAGCTTAAAAGTCTTACTTTATCTGATATTAATATAGTATGTTAATCAGTTTCTTACGACTGTGCAAAACACCCAATGCCCACAACTTAAGCAAGGAGAGGTTTATTTGGGCTGATATTTCAAAAGTTTCTGCCCATGGTTACCAGGCTCAAATACAGAAACAGCACTGGGGAAGGGCCCGGGCAGAGAAAAGCTGCTCAAGCCATAACAATGAGGAAGCAGAGAAAAGGTAGGAGTTGAAGAGGTCAATGTACTTTTCTATGTCACACCCCCAATTACCCACTTCCAACCAGTCCCCACCTTGTAACAGCATGTTTACTTCTAAATGTACCCATGGTTTATTTCACTGATGAGTACAGCATCCTCCACGATCCTGTAACCTTCCACAAGCTTCATCTCTGAGCTCATGAAGCTTTGGAAGAACATTCCAGATCCAAATCATACCATATGGTTACTCGTGCTTTCTTTCATTTTCCATTTTCATGAAATATTTTATCTGTTCATTTTGTGCATATCCTTAGAGAAAAGTGAGTTTCTTATACACCACATATGGTTAAATCTTATTTTATGCATTCAAACATTGTTTCGGCGTAATAAGTTTTTTGTCATAAAAGTGAATAAACATGGGTATGTCAAACCTGCACTTTTTCTTTGGAATATTTCTATTGATGAATTATTAATTTTAATGTTATGAGTTTTATTGTATTAAACAATGAGTGCTTAACAGGAAAAAGTATAAAAATAAAGTATTCCATTTTTAATATTTGTTGTTTATGAAAATATATCAAATTTTTCAACATTTACTGGTTTTTGGTGTACAAGGCTAAAAAAGAACATCAGAAATAAAACCTTATGTGAACTATAATAAAAATATCAATAACACTCCACAAAACAAAACAAACTTCAATTATCACATCTAAGGCAGTCTTCAGACATGACAACAGCATATTCCATACACATGTATCGCTTACACTGACAGCACATGTATTTTGCTTTCCTGACCTTTTTGTAGTGTATACTTGACATATCACTGGTCTTGCTGTTTTGTCAAGAGGTTCTTATTATGCAATGTGTAGTTAACAGGAACAAAAAATATCAAAGTATTCTTAATATTTATTGTGTGTTTAGAATAAACATCAACATTTTTACATTAGTTACTTGTTTACAAAACCTAAAAGATAACAGAAATAAAAAACTATGTGAACTATAATGAATCTACTGACAGAATTCTACAAGAAAAATAATCTTTGTTTCAGTTGTCACACCCAAGGCAGTCTTCACACATTAAAATTGCATATTCCATATGCAAGTATCGCTTACAATGATAGCATGTCTATTTTGTTTCCCTGTCCTTTCTTGTAGGGCACAGTTGACATCTTTTTGGTTTTCCTATTGTCATACTAAGTCTTCAGGATGCTGTGCCTGCCTGTTCACCTGTCAGCTCACAAGTGTGTTCCACAATTTTTTTGCGTAGTTCCCTGGGCAGAAACATTTGTTTTTCCTCTGCTGTAAATGATCTCTTAAGAGTTCCAATCCTAATCCTTTAAGAACATTTCTCCATGATATTTTTCATTTGTTATTTTCATTGTAAACTATCAACTATTTATGCCACACATGTTTAGGATCAAATAAAACACAATCACTGTCCAATGCATTGTGTTTTGAGTGACATCATAGTTGCTGCATAACTCATCAACAGCATTTTTTCCACCTTTAATTTTGTTGTGGAAAGTTTCCATCTCAGACTTTTGGTTTCTCTATCAATATTTCCATCATGGTGCAATGTTGACATCAGCAGTACCAGTTTGTTTTTCTTTGCCATATATGAGGTCAATGTAAATCTTTCTGAATTCTGAAGATCATACTATACAGTTCTCCATTTTGAAATTGCAACATTTCATTTGGAATTTCTGCTTTGTTCCTGTGTACAGTTCCTACATTGGTCAACTTGCACTCTGTTAACAGATTAACATCAATTGGAAACTGGTAAACCAATTGTCGAATGTCAGATTGTGATTACTTTGGAAGATGGGAGCAACAAGTCTGTTCATAGCATCATTCAGTTTATTATTATATGAATAAAGACATGGAGTTTCAGGATAAATTTCTAAATTGAAAGCATAATAAGTTCACATCTACAAGGGCATAAATTTTTATGCCATATTTTGAAGGGTTTTTTTTTTTTTTTGACATGTACTACCTCAAGCTACTTTGGGTATGAACTGATGCAAGATGTTCATCACGTGTGTTCAGATGGTATGTAAATTGATTGGCAGTTACAAATCTGTCAGACAATGACCAGATAGTGGCCAGATTATCAGTTCTTTTTCTTTCTTGGTCATCAAACCTCAGGCAATTTTTAAGGAAACCAAATCTCCTCAGTATCATTGTTATTCTACAAACCCCAAGCCCAAACCCATTGCTTTTCCATAAGTCATTTACATTCCTGTGATTACCATGTGAAAGCCCTGCTAAGTACAGCAGACCTATGAATGGTTTCAGTTCAGGTAATGAGGTGTCATATAAATACATTTCTGAGCATGGCTCTTTGTCCATAAGAATGCCTTACTTGTATTCCAGCCTTTGTGTATTTTACAGCATCTCGTAGCATTTCATCTGCTACAATTTCCAACATTGAATAGCAGTGCTGACATTCTGTCCAATAGGTTTTACCCCTGCCAAGATCCTCACTATATTTTTGGACCTCGTTCTAACATTGAATCATTCCATTTGGTTGTATGACCACTTTGCAACATTTCAGCTAGTCAAATATGCACTCACATTGCTGTTTTCTTAATCATCTGAATCAAGGAGGTCTGTGTACCCTGTGTCTGTATCAGTTGATTGTTGCTCCATTTCACTGTCACAGGAACTTTGCCTCACCGGGCCAGTATCGGAGTCGTCATCATCATCATCATCATCATCATACACCCACACTACTCTTCTGTTATGAAAACATGTATTTTATCATAATGTATGATCTTCATCATCCATACATAAGTAATCTGATGGTTCACTTTTAGTCTCCATTACTTGCAAATCTACATTTTTATGTGTCATTCTACTTAATTTAGCCACTTCTACCAAAAAAATCAAAAGAAAACTTTTAGAAAAACAAATCCTAGAGTAGTGTGGGTTTATTGTACCCTCTGTGATGCTCAGGTAAACATATTCATAACCTGTTAGAGCATAATATGGGTAAAACTTCCAGTCTGAAACTTTTGCACACATGCACACACCTTGCCGTTCATTATACCAAGTGGGTAAACACAGAGATTACTTCCTGTATGCCTCAGGGAAAGGTACTGAAATGCACAGCCGGCTTCTATTACACTAAAGTGAAAATTTACATCCCTTACTTTCCCATCACTGCAACACCATACCTGATTCCCACAACTTAAAGGAGGATAGGTTTAATTTAGTTTATGGTTTCAAGGGATTCAGTTTGTGTCCAGCTGGCTCCAAGGGAGAAACAACATGTTTGGGTGGTGTGGAAGAGCAAAGATACTTAAATCAAGCCAGCCAGGAAGCAAAGCCATCAAATACTGTCAGAAAGAAAGGTGTCAGGGACTGTAAATAGTACTTAAGGTTATGCCTCTACGATTCAACCAAACACATCCAGAAGTGTGTTTTACTAATCTCATAGGTAGCTCCCAAGCCAGTCAAATTTATAATTAAATTTAACCAGCTCAGTAATTATTGATAGGTAAGGTCTTAGTACAACTATTGTGTAACTTGTTTTCTAGTTTTGTTGTACTTAATTTCTTTGTCTATTTCTCTCATAATCTTCCTTGGGAGTAAAGTGAATTACTCTAGTAGTGTGTTTTGGTTCCTCGCTTATTACTTTGCATTTGTCTGTCAAAGGTTTTTGCTTTGTAGTTACCATTAAGCTTTTTTTAAAAAAAAATCTTTTGATTATAACAAGCTATTTGCAAAGTATACCAATTGATTTTCTTAGCTTTCAATCTAGTAGTTTGATACACATGCTGTTAACTTTATATTTCTATGGAATGAGATTGCTAGAGGATCTTACTCAGATATCATCTTGCTGCATGCTTTCCATTTGGATCATCTTAAACATGATGATTTGCCTCAATATGCTTGAAGATAATTAAAAAAAAAAACATACCAAGTGTTTTCCTCTGCTTTCAAAAATTAGCCTTATTTTTATGGTTTATGTCTGACTTTTGTGACAAATAGCTACAATAATATTCACTTTCTTAAGACTTTGTATCCTAGATACAGATTTTGAAATGGAAGAAATTTATTTGGTGTCTTAAGAAATCTGTAATATTGTAGGTTATATTTTACTCATGTTCTCCTTATCACAACTTAATGCAATGAATATTAATATCTATCATTTTTACCTGTTATCCTCACAGACTGCTACCTAAAGGATAACCTAACTGTAAGTAGAGGTGATTTGATAGGACAAGCATGGACTGAAGCCAAGTATACCTAAGGGGCCTCTCCATGGCTTTAAATTGTAGCTAACATATTCAGAGCATCCTAGAATTATCATGAAGTTTAGATAGTACACTATATAGACAGTGCTCTATGCATTCCTGGACAGTCCCTCTGTCCTCATCCACTGGTGGAAAGGTAGTTATATATGACACAGATGTCTTGATGTTGTGGTTTCTTCTCTTCTTGAATAATACCACCTTACCAGCTATCTGTTTCTGGCAGTTTTGTCCTGTTTCAAATGTTTGATTTCATACCAATAAGTTTATTTATTTATTTATAAAGTAAACCATTGAATTTGTTCCCACTAGTGATACCAAGAAGAAGCAGGGAATGAGGAAAAGAAACAACAGTGAAGTAGAAGCCGTGGGACCAAGAAGTCACCATAGAAAGAAGGCCAAGTGGGAAACCTTAGAGCCTTTGGATACAGGCCTGTCTTTAGCAGAGGATGAAGAACTGGTGTTACATCTGCTCAGAAGTCAAAGCTAAATACTTCCTCCTGCTGTCTGCTCCTTGATACCTCTGAATGTCACTATGTGGGCAAAAAGTTAAAAAAAAAAAGTAACATGTTGGTGCATTTTAAGTACCATGAGTTCCATTCCCAAATGACATTCTCCACACAGAAACAATCACATTTCTGACCCCCTTTTCATAGACCATGCTTTGCACCATCATGGAGGATACTCAGAGTCGGGATGGGTTACACAGTTTCCTGATCCAATTTTGACATATGTTTTATATCTCCAAAGAGACCAGCCCTGAGAAAGACAAGTATTTTTTTTCATTGAGATGATCAATAATAAACATTTGCTATAAAGTATTAATATGTTCATTGTGTTCAGTAATATAAGAGTATCCTTATGGGTAGGTTCCTGAGATTAAAACATACGGCCAATTCCTGAAATGGTGATTTTTTTCATATTGTTAGATTAGCCAACTCAAACATCATATCATTTCACTCATACTACAGAGTTGCTAAAAATTATTTCTAAAATCTAAAAGTTCTCAAACTTGAACTCATGAACACAGGCTTGTAGCTCTCCTGCAAGGTTCTCTGTTCATCAGGTGCCATCAGTCCCCACCCAAACTCAGCTCCTGATAATGAGGAAAAAGCAAATTTGGTACAAATAATTGAAAGATTCTTTAGAGGGAGAGAATATGGTGAAGAAATCTGGGTCTTGGTATGAAATTTCTGTTTGAAACATAGATTTCTCATCTCTCACAACTCTGTTCCTTATGTCTTTCCTTACCCCATGCACAAACAAAAATAATTTTCAATCATGAATAAACTCAATCATGAATCCAAGAAGAGTGTTGATGTCACTAGACCTGGATATCTCAAACACTTTCAATTCAGCCTGTTTGTCTCCTGTTGTATTCAGTATCCTCATGAGTGGCACCAGCATCTTTCCACCATCAAAATGAGAAACTTGGTGACTACTTAGCTTCTTCCTTTTCTCAGTCTGTTCTTTACTGGATCACATTCTCCAATCTAACCTTTCCAAGAATTCTCTTTAAAGCCAGTGAATCTAAACATGTTTCTTCCTGGCTATTTTTCCTGTTAAAATGCTTTTCACGTGATAGTATAGCCATTTGTTTATAAGACACTTGCTCCTGTTATATGACAAGCTTCTGGAGAGTGCAAAGACCATGTTTTGTCCATCTTCTGTATCCCCAGGGCCGCATACAGCACCTGCCCTGTTATTGGCTTAGTGAATTAATGAGTGACAGTACTAAACCGAGACATTTTAAAGCTGTGTTATAGCACATTGCTCTATCACTTCTGTTAGAAAGGAAGGAGTGATGGATATGAAAACTAGATGGAATGGCTATTATGGGAAAGAAACAGGTAAATAGATGGGAAAGGTTTGGGGGTATAACAACTTGAAAAGATCTTGAAATCGGAGTTTCTGATAGAGTCTCTTGGCCTTGAATGTTTTTAAAGATCATGAAGTTGCAAGAATGTGTAAACTGCAAGTTTATCATTGAATTAACTCTGTACAGTTTTAGATTGTTTTTCCTGATACAAGTAAGGAATTGAGGTAGTTTACTCCCTGTATGCAAATGTTGAATAAAAATATTGCAAGGGCTTTAGTTTGAGTTGTATTCTTTCCCTGGAACTGAACAGATCCTGACTAAACTGTTATAGATCATTTTAATTTGCTGATTTTTTAAAGTAGTTAAAACATCAAAATAGTGCTAATAGAAAACTCAGGTAATAAATATATATTTAAATGGACTAAATTAGCTACTATTTTTGGTAACTCATATTTTTGCCCTGTGTGAGGTTAGGGTGGTAAGATTCTATCACCTCCAGGTGACATCAGATGGTACAAATCTGGCAGCCATCATGGCCCCTCCTGAATGCAGATTGACCCAGAAGTGGATATAATAGGTAGGGAACAGTTAGACTCCTTCCTTGTGAAGGCTATACGGAGAATGAAAGAGAAAAGGTACTAAAACAGGAAAATGTGGATCTAGAACCTTTGTAGTCATTTCCCCAGCCAAATGAGGGTCACTTCTGAGAGACGATCAACACAGTATGATCAGAAAGAAGAGATAGAGAGCCCTGATAGCATTGTTGGAATCTCAAGGCTTCAACTTAATTCCTTGGGTTTCCTAGTTATCCCCCCTCCCCCCGCAAACTAGTTCATATGGTATTTTGTCCCTGGAATGTACAGATCCTACTGTATGCATTATAGAGGAGGGTTAGTTTGCAATTTTGAAAATTAGTTTAACATCAGAATAGTGCTGATACACTGGTGTAACAATGCATGATAGATTGTATTTTGTTCAGCATATATTCATTTCAGCCCTGCCATCTATGGGGAGCATATTCTTTTTTGATCTTTCTGACAGTCTTGCTATGTGGTTATGTGGCCTTGAACTCACAGTGACCCACCTGCCTCAGCCTCTCGAGTGCTAGGATTACACGTATGTGCTATCACACTTGGCTGGGAAGCATATTCTTACTATATTTCCCCCAAAATAAGACTGGGTCTTATATTAAGTTTTGCTCCAAAAGGTGCAATAGGGCTTATTTTCAGGGAGTGTCTTATTCATGTACAACAATCTGCATTTATTCATGTACAGCAAGAAATCTACATTTATTAAAATACATTCATGTCATCTTTTTTGGGGGGGGGACTGGGAATTGAACTCAGGACCTTGTGCTTGCGAGGCAGGTGCAGAGCTACTGAGCTAAATCCCCAGCCCTCATGTCATGTTTTTCTGAATATCATAACTCTCCAAACCTCAAATTCCAGCCTAAACTTCCTGCGACTCCATTTCCTGTGGAACCATTGACCCCAATCACTCATGTCCAGCAATAGAGCTGTCCTTAAATGAGCACTTCTTGAGCATGTAGGCTGCTTGTAGTGCATAGGCAAGACAGTTGTCAGTGATTTTAACCCATAAATTCTTCACCCAAGTCACAACCTCTTGCAGGCTAGGTTTCACAAAGTTTCCATTAAATCAAGTGTTAATTGAAAACTTAGAGGAGTGGCAACAATGATGACAGTTAAGACTGATGGTCCACACAAAAGTGACAAAAAAATTGCAGGCACCAGAATTCAGAAAATGTTTATTTCATGAGTGCATTAAATGTGTCTGTAATTGAACTATGAAGATTCATATCAGACACATCTGTGTCCATTTGTTATGAAGTGCACACATTGTGTGTTGTGTCTATACTCCGGTCATTTGGCAATAAGTGTCAAGTTCATTTGTTTACAAAGGCATTTATCTCTGGTCCAAAGGTACCCACTTGGGTATTTACAAATATTTAATTATAATTGATAATAATATTTAATTATATATTAATATTTTATAATTCAGTATGTCTTTTGTGTGTTGCAACAGACATACTAAATGGTTCTGTCTGGCGACGATCTTAACTGGGGCTTATTTTGGAGAAAGGGCTTAGGCCAGGGATTTAGCTCAGTGATTCCAGTGCCTGCCTGGCAAGTGCAAGGTCCTGAGTTTGATTCCCAGTATCCGCCCCCCCCCCCAAAAAAATGGAGATAGGGCTTATATTATGACCATCCTGAAAAATCATGGTAGGGCTTATTTTTCAGTTAGGTCTCACTTTCACAGAAATGTGGTAACTCAACTCCACTGATACTGATTTGTCCATATGATTTAATTTTAGCTCATGGAATTTGGTGGAAGTCATTGTGTCTTGGTTATAAGCAGAGGCAGTCTGCCTGCTCTCCTGCACTCCAGCCTTCCACTCACATACCAGAGAGAAGACACTCCTTCATTCAGGGCCCCAGTGAGAATACAGGTGAACCATTATAGTTACCACAGTCACCTCTCAAACTTGTAGAACAAGAAATTCACTGAGGCTTAGGGGTTTATCACACTAACACCTGACTAACTAAAGTAAGAGAAGCATACAGTATAACCACAAACAAGAGCAGTCATTATGAACAACTACTATATATACCAGGCCCTATATTTGCAAGAAATACAAATGGTTCCCTTTCCTGCTACCCATATAGTGGGAGGTAGGGGACAAGCAAAATCATAATTTCTGTGTACCATCAAAAGAATAGGCAGAAAGAAGATTATTATCTGAATGAGGGAGCTATTGCTAGAGTGCAAGAAAGAGGGAGGACATCAGTAGTTGCATGGTCTAGGATACAGGACCAATTCTTGCTCCTCAACTGAGGCTGAGAGGCCATTTGTCAGACTTGCTCATGTAAAATGATCCTTAATATTACATAAGTCTGATAGATATGCCCAGCATCAGGATCCTTTGGAGGGCTGCCATCCCATAAGTTGCACATAGCATTTTAGATTTCTTTGGCACTGTAAAAAATGGATAAGTTTAATTAAATGTAATTAATTTTGTTATACAACATTTGAAATACCCTGAACATGAAAAGTCATCTCTGAGACTATCAGAGGCTGCCAGAGGAGGCAGATGTTCCTGGGAGGTGGTGGTATAGGTAAGAGCTTGCAATCAAGATTCAAAACTCTTTTTCATAAAGGCCATTTTAACTAGGCAAGTAGCCATAGTGTGATTTTCTTCCACAGCCCCTGCTGACCAAGTAGCTCAGGGAAGATATGCTTTTACACCATGTTACTTAGAGCCTGCTGAATCAAATTGGCACTAACACCTTATTTAGCCTATGAGGGACACTGGTGCAAAACACTGAACAGGGACAGATTGGGCAAATAATATTGTTATTCTTAGAAACTGAAATTGAAGCATAAGTGAAATGAGAAGGTAATGAGAGTAGGGAGCACATGCAAGGCAAAAAAGGATCTCAAATTGGGAGTAGGCCAAAGCTGTAAGTGGAAAAGAACACTGGCAAAAAGATAAAAGAGTAAGCAGTAAAGGATCCAGCAATTCATAGGACCGATGCAATGTGTGGAGAAAAGTGAATCATGGTTAGGGATGACTGGGGAAGGTCTGTCTGCTGGCTCCTGTCTTTGACGTCTCTGTGATCCAAACTGACTCTAGTTCTTGTATCCATGAGGCTTGGTAAGAGAGAAATTCTGAGACGTTCTGAATTTAATTAAACAGGTCTGAGGATAGAAGATGGGGGAGGCTGAAAAGAACAAATGACCATTTTACATTCACATTCTTGAATATATGTTTCAATGTTACCTCAAATGCTGTCACAGACCCCTAGGCACCATTTATATCCCCAGTCAAGATAAAAACAGTTAATATTTCTCCTTATAGATTGTCCTAGCCCAAAGCTTGTCCTTCTTCACATAATCCTGCCCTTATGAATATCCAGTGTAGAGTCAATGCAAAGAATTCATAACTTCCTTCTCCCAATTAAAAAAAAATTGTTTCTCAAAAAGGTTTCTCCAGCTGCTACCTGGTCTTGCTGCTGATAGCTGTGGGAATTTGTCCTAGGAATAGTCTTTTTCTGGCCAAATTTATAATAGCTCAGTAATCCTTTTATTCAGGATCCCTGGGTCTCAAGAGTTTGGTTTAATAGGCATAGCTTTCTCATGAGTTTTAGTCTTAGATTTCTCAGTAAGTCTGTCTCTTTCAATACTTGAGGTATAAGACCCCATGGCTTGAGCTAGTCTGAGTGAGTCTTTGAGTTCTTTGCACCCCAGAAAGCTTCAGTAACCTTAAAATACTCAAGTGCAGTGCTTTTTAGACTTCAACATGCTTAGGAATCACCAAAGATTTTTTGTTTTTAAATACCAAGTTCTGATCCAGTATGGCTGGAGTCAGCCCTGAGATTGTACATTTCTGACAGGCTCCAAAGGGATGGTGATGCCACTGGGCCATGGCCACAGTTGAGTGTTGAGGCTCTTGTGGAATTCAGGGAATTACTAAAATCATCATTCACAGGTATCAGAGCCCCAAGAAGAATCAGAGGGTACATATAAATTAGAATAATTCTAAAAGGACTTAATAAAAAGATTATTTACATAGAAGAGGGCAAGGTGTAGAGGAATTACAAAAGATTGTCCATTCTGAGGCTACAAATAAAAGTCTCTATCACCCTGAGAAGATGGAGAGTGGGGGGAGTAGTTGACTATCAAAATCCAGAAGGAGAGAGAAGAGTGCACATAGCTGCTTTGTGCCTTTCAGTTGAGGTATATAGCCAGCCTAGGTGACACAGGAAAGAGCCAGTAGAATTAATGCTGGGTCTACTTCTGGCGGCCTCTGGTGGCTTCACCCAACCCAAAACCAAAGAGCAAATTGCCTGCAGGTATAATCTGTCATCTCACAGCAAGGTGGAAAAGGGTACATGGGAGCAAGCAACATAAACTCAGACAGGTAGGGCATAAATAGGTGGAGTCTGTCTGAGGTAGCAGAGAAGGGGCCTACTCTCACTCTGCAGAGTATACTTCTTTTCCTACCTTTTATTGGCTTGCACTCAGTCTGCACCGCATATTTCTTTTCCTACCTTTAATAAGTGTAAAACTTCCCTACCTTTTGCATGTTTCTTGTCTAAGTCTTTGTTTAGGACAAGAAGAACCTAGAAAGAATCTCGAAAAGGAGCCCACAGTATCCCAGAACCCTGGTAGCACAGCTCCTCACTACATCTGGGCCCTGCACTCTGCCTTCCCACCTGCTAATGAAGGGAACCTGCCCATACTCCCACCCAGG